CTTTGCTGCTCCAACCAGGTCTTGCTGTGTTTCTCTCCTTTTTTCACACTCAGGTTTCTCCAAGAAGTGATCAGCAGGTGCTGCCTCTACTGTCCACATCCCTCTCATGTTCAGCTGTCTAGTTTAAACCAAAAGCAAACTCCCTGCCACTGAGTAGGATACAGATCTGACTCATAGTGACTCCTCCTTGGGTTTCCAAGGTGGTATCACTACAGATAGTAGATTGCCCAAACATTCCTTCTGAGGAGTGACTGGTGGGTTTGAACCACCGGCCTTCTGGTTAGCAGTCCAATGCCTTAGGCACTACGCCACCAGAGCTCCAATGACTTTCTTACAGGCTTCCAACTCATTCATTTCCATTCAGTCCCCTGCTGAAAATTTGCATTTCCATCCCAGTTATACTGAATCAGAATCTACATTTTAACAAGAACACCTTCAGAATCACCTGAGGATCTTGTTAAAATGTGGATTCTCATTCAGTATATCTGGAGTGGAAGTACAAGTTCTCACCAGAGGGTTGAATTAGAATGAACTGGTTTAAAACCCTGCTTCCCTGTGCCTAAAGCTGGGGGTCACTGCCCACCCCTCTAGATGACTACGCCCTTCTGGAAGCTTTCTCCTTCCCTAATTCTCCTCTGCCTCTCTTCCCAGACACTGTACCTCTCCTCCTCCTATCCATAGTTCCCTCTTTGTCCTGGATACCCTGGATCTCTCTTGGCACATCACACTCAATGATACCGAGAGAGCACTGGACAACCTGTGCATCCTAGGATGGTTCTCAAGGGATGGGGAAGGAGGGCAGCCTGGCTCCAGAAGAGCGGAGAAGCAGTGTTTGTGAGTGGGAAAGCCCTGAATGGGAAGCCTTTGCAATTACTGGAGCCCTGGATGAGAGGGAACCACATAGAGGGGGAAGGAGACCCAGGGAATTGGGAGAGACTCTTCTGGGCTGGAGGTCTCCCAGCTCACCCCTAGGAACCAGCCAGCTGAATTTCTGCTCCCTTCAGAGCCCTCATCAGGGTGATGGACAGCTCTGAGCCCTAGGAAGTGAAGCATGGGAGCAGAGGGACTGGTCTGGGGAACCTCTAAGTTTGTGTTCTAGTCAGAGAGGCTCCAGCCCTGCAGGAGCCCTCAGAGGCTCCCCTGACCTTCAGCTCAGCTATAAACAGCATGGCCTGTCAGCACTGTTAGGTGCTGCCCAAGAAACAGCACGCTATGCTCTAGCAGCCTCAAAATTCCAGGGATTGCTGGCACAGCTGCCCTAGAATAGTCTTGACCTGTCTCCCTACCTCTCCCTGGGGACCCTCTGTCCTCAGCATTCCCACTGTGTCTGGGAAAGTCTGATAAATACACAACAGCAGAGGGGCTGAGGTCTCTGAGCTAGTGCCCCAGGCAGGCCTATGAAGCCTGGTGGGGTAAGGTCCTGAGGGATGGGAGTCATCAAGCAGAGAGGCTTGCCTTCTTGGCCCACAGTCTCCCCCCACCCCATTCCTGAGCATACCTTGCTGAACAACAAATAAACTGTACTTTCACAAGTGCATGTTGGGAAGCACTTTCATGAATGCATTATCCCCATTTTGCAGAGGAAAAAACAGGCTGAGACAAGCAAGCTGACTTTTCAGGGGGAACACAGCTGTGAGTGGCAGAGTCAAATAAAAACCTCTATCTCTGCATAAAGCCAGGGTCAGTAACAAGGTACAGAGAGGTGAGACTCCAGGCCATAGCCCAGCCTCTGGTCAAGCTGCAGGGACAGGAATGGCGGCTGAGCCTTTGTTGGGTTCCCTTGGTGGCTGTCCTGTCCCTCCCCCACTTCCTGGAGCACTGGCTGGGGTTGGGCGGGTAGGGGTGAGAGGGCAGCTTGTGTTACAGGCCCTGGTGCACCTGTCCCGGATAAATAAAGGCATTTTCCCTCCACCCTCCTGTCTCCTCCTGAAATCCCTTCTCAGTGGGCCCTGAGGCTGTGAACCACTGAAGGGCAGCCTTCTGTCCACATGTTCTGTGAGGACTGAGGGGGCTGCCCTTGCCTGAGTTTGGGGCCAGTGGGAATAGGGAGCTGCCACCCTAGCCCTAGGTAGGCCAGTTGTTGTTGTTGTTGTTGTTATGTGCCGTCGAGTCAGACCCGACTCATAGCGACCCCTCCTTGGGTTTCTGAGGCAGTATCACTACGGAAGTAGATTGCCCCATCTTCCTTCCGAGGAGTGGCTGGTGGGTTTGAACCGCCAGACTTCTGGTTAGCAGTCAAGTGCCTTAGCCACTATGCTACCAGAGCTCCCAGGTTGTTGTTGTTGTTGTTGTTATGTGCCGTCAAGTGGGCTTTATTACAGGAAGAGTCTGCAACCAGTGCTTGCAGCTGACTATGGGTGGGGGTGGGGTTTCCAGTCCAGTGGTCAAAGCCAGAAGGGTGATGGGGGCAGGAGTGGGATCTGGGAGTTTCCCAAGGGCACAGAAGTTCCACTCTCCATCTCATAGCAAATGTGGGTCTTGGTTTGCCCTGCTCTGATGTGATACAGATCATCCCAGCCTGGCTTGCCTGACCGCCCCCTTAGGATTGTCATGAATATGTGCAGGGGCTGCCACGCCATTGAGAACCAACAAGCTCTGTCCTTGCCAAAGTCCCCACTGCAATAGCTTCCACCAGTACCTGTGGCAAAGGCTTGGCTGGGATGTCCCAGCTGCACCCTGCCCTTAGCACAGAGTGGAAAGTGGGTAAGGCTGGGTAGGGGTGGGGTTTCTCCAGAGACACCGGCTCTGCATCCACTGGGGAGTGGGGTGGTGGTGATTCTGCTGCAGAAGGGCCTTAAGAGCCCCAACAAGATCCCACAACCCAGGTGGGTGGAGGGGCAGTGTGTTCACCCCTCCAGTGAGGCACTGAGCATGGGATGTCTGAGCTCACAGCATTAGCAAGAGGCTCTGAGCCTGGGGAGGGCCTTAGCACCCAGTCCAAGTTGCTTCATGGCCTTGGTGACTTGGGGGAGGGTATGCTCCTGAGGGGAGCTGGCAGCCATCATGTGCATCCCCTAATACCTTGCCTGAGCAGCAGGTTCTATTTTTAAAAGTCCTCCTGGTCACTGGCTCCAGTATATCCCTGCACACTGCCTCCCTGCAGAGAGGACATTCCTCCTGCTATCTAGCTTAAGTCCTCTGTGCTGCAATTTAAGCCCTTGGCCAGCCAGGGCCAGGTGGCACATAGACCTTGGGTGAAGTCATTGGCTATCTGGGTGCCACTGAACCAGGAGGGCTAATTTCTGTCCCCAGGGATAAGGCAGGGAGCACCAACAGGAAGTCTTGAGGATGATGGGATTGGAGGAAACCTGGTCTCAGTCCCAGGTGTGGGAGACCAGGGGAGACTAGGGGGCCTGAGAATCAGGGTGGACAGCCCGCCTCATAAAGGGAGAGGACCTGCAACCATGAGATGGCAGCTGTGTTTCCACTGGGCCTCAAATGTCTGTATATCCCCAGGAGAGGTGTGCAAGGTTCTGGGCTTTCCTTTTAGTGCAGGTCTGTGGTCTCCAGGTCAGTAGGCCTGGAAGGGTAGAGACTCTGGGTTAGAATGAGCTAGATCTCCAGTAAGGGATGGAGTTCAGGGATTTTTTCTTAGACCAGAGCCAGGCCAGCAGCCTCACCCTAGAGGGAGTGTGGCATCTGTGGCTGTTACAGGGCTCCTATGGCACCCTGAGTGGGACTTCTCATTCGTGGGGTCCCCTTAAGTACCCACGTGGATTCAAGAACCAAGACTGCTCTTCCCCAATGGAACCCTTGACCCTTTGCAACTAACTATGCTCCGGGTTTGCCCATCTCCCCAGGCTCCCTGCATCTCTATCAGCACTGTTTAGGCCTTCCCTGAGTACCTAACTCAGTGCTTTTCCTACCCCCACCCAAAGCAAGTCTCTGTTGCTCTGGTGAAGAAACCATCTCCCTATGCCATGTGTAGGCAGCCACTGGTTACCTCCTGTCATCTGCTACCCTCCATTCACATCCTGGGGCTTCATCCTGCCCCTCTTGCCTAAGACAAACCTGCCAGGTGCTCAGTCTCTGCCCTGCCCCACCAGGCAGGGCTTGTCCTATTCCCTTGCATATCTCATCACCTGCCAGGGTTTTGCTGGAGACTCCCTTTTATTTGACATGTATTTATTGAGCACCTACCATGGTATAGATACTTTGCTAGGTGCTGGGGACATAGCAGTGATGAAAACAAGTTCTCACTCATAGAGAGTTTATATTTGAGCACATCCTAGCTTTTGACACCTCTCTGGACTTCAGTGGATCCTACTGGGTGATGAGAGTTACTTAGATGGACTCCATTGTGGTGTGACATTCCCCTGATTGCAGACATTGTGGGACAGAGGGGTATGGGGGCACGAAGTGAGACAGGCAGCAAATCAGCCAGGAGTGACTGGACCCTGGTAAGTGAGGAGGCCCAGCTCACCCAGCCCATGAAGCCACCAGTGAATGGTCCCTGGAGAGGGTTGGTATCTCTAGTCTGGGACAGAGCAGTTACTGGAGCCCAGGAATCCATCCAGCTCAGCCCTGCAGCACAATGGCAGGGCAGTAAAGATCAGCAATCTGTCCGTCCATCTATCCACTTGGCTGGCGGTCACTGACTTCTCAGGATAGGAATGCTCTCTCCTGAGAGCAGCTGCCCACTTCTAGGGAGATGCTCCAGGCCTGCGAGGGACTTGGAGCCCACCCTGGTCAGAAGGGCTTAGGGAGAAACCGTACTCTCTGCCTACCTGTCAGTTCCGCGAACTCAGCATTTCCTTCTCTACTCAAAACACTGGCCATCTGCCCGTGACATTTCCCACTCCTAACTGGCTGGCCAGCTTGGGAGGGCACAAAGCTGTGGCTGAGACTAGTGGCTTGAGGCTGGCAGTATCCAATGAGTGGGGATGGGTCATGCTCTGCTTTCCAAGAGCCTTGGGAGGACAGACAGAAGGACACACACTCCCCTTCCTCGAGTGTGCCCCACCCCTCACGGGTCCAAGCTGTGGGCACTGCACACTCACCCGAGAGATGGTGAGCGGCATGTTGAAGTCCTTGCCTCCCTGCAGGCGGAAGCCCCAGGGTCCAGGCCCGGTCAGGGTCACACTGTAAGACATTCTGGAGTTGACAGTTGCGGCCTCTGATGAGAGAAAGAGTTGGTGAGAGGATGCTTTATCTGGAGCCTTACGTACCCTACACTTCCAGCCCACCTCTGCCCCTGGCTCCACCACCCAGCCTTGCCTGCTCTGTCCCCTGCTGCCCAGCTGGGCTGTGTGGAGCTCCTGGGAGGCTCCTAAGAATAGCCAGAGTGAATGCCATCGACACTGATATCTGCCCTCAGCTGCGCCCATAAATGGGCTGTAACCTTACACTGTGCCCGCCCGCCTATGGCCTCCCATCCATGTCCACCGTGACTCACGCAGCTAATATAGGCCCTGGGGAGGGGTATTCGGCATCCAGCACCCCCAAGGAGTAGGAAGGGGGCACTGGCCAGGTTGGTGATAACATTTTCACCTCTTATTCTCTGTCTTCTGCTTCTCTCTGTCCCTCTGGAAAGCTCAAACCACTCTCTCTGCCGAGACTGAGGGTGAGCTTCCCTGGGCAGTGACATTGGGGCTGGGGTCTTGGCTGCGCTGTGCCCCTGGTGATGACTCATGTTGTACTTTATGCAGGATGGGGCCCTGGTGGTGATGAGGACTGGGCTGAGCCCCCAGCTGGTCGGGACAATGTTTTAACACAGGAGATAGTGACTTGGTGACTTGGCTTAGATTGCTCAGTGTTGGACCTTCCACACCCTTACCCCTCAGGTCCAGAAAGTCTCCACCTTGTCCACAGGAACCCTGGCTCAGAGATGCTAAATGACTTTTCCAAGGTTACATGGTGGGGGTGGGGTGGAGGCAGACACCCAAGCCACTCTCCAGTCTGGGCTTATTCTATGGAACTCTAGATAATGGTTCCCAGAGGGTGGGGAATTGCATGGGGGCCACAGGCACTTCCTGAAGGCCTGGCTCATGGGGCTGGACTCCTGCCCACACTCTTTGGCATAGGCTTGCAGGCCAGGCCCATGCCCCCAAAGCCCTCTGGGGTCCCAGCAGTTATTCCTGGCTCTCCTATCTCATTTGTGCTCTGGAAAACTTGACAGCAGCTCCAGCTGCCTGTGTCACTGCCAGGCCCGTGCCCTTTTCGATAAATGGCAGGGCAGAGGGGAGGCAGGAGACACCATTTACTCAACTGAAGAGATCTGGGGTCAGAAGGAGCAGGCAGGGGGATCCTCTTCGTGATGTGTTCAGCCCCTACCCCAGAGTCAGTGTGTTCTTGGTGGGGACTCAGGCCCCTTGAGATTCATGACCAGTTCCTGCCACTGTGGGCTTTTGGGTCAAGATTTCCCCAGAATTTTCCTAGGACAGATATCAGGCCCCATGTGGTCTAGAGATCAAAGCCTACTCCTGCTCTCTGGTTGAGGAAACTGAGGCTCTGACGGCTATTGGGCTGGCTTGCTTTCTGGCACTGAGACCTCAGAGGAGACCCGGGTGTGAGTAATTTCCTGGCTGCCAACATCCTCAGCCGCACATCCTGGGTCTGGCACCAGAGGAGTATCTACGGAAAATAGTGCCTAAGGCAATTAATTTTAACTTGCTGAATGATCTCTCACAGCTGGAGATGGAAACTTTGATGATGAATAGAAACTGCTCATTGGTGCCCCACCTCAAGCGGCGTTCAGAGCTTGTGCCATACCTGCCATACCCTAGATATGCCTCTGTCTTACACACACAGGTGCACTGTCGAAGAAATCTCCATATTACAGAGTCATTTGGTAATTTGCCCCAGTTAACCACTTACTGTCAAGTCCACTCTGACTCATGGCAACCACGTGGGTCCAGAACGGAACTGCCCTCCACAGAGTTTTCTTTGTTGTAAACGTTTGGTAGCAGATCACCCGGCCTTCTTTTGAAGAGCTTCTGGGTGCATATGAACCACCAACCTTTTGGTTAGTAAAACTAAAAAAACTAAACTTACTGCTGTTGAGTTGTTTCTGATTCATAGCAACCCCCACTGGGTTTCCAAGGCTGTAAATCTCTATGGAAGTATATTGTCTTGTCTTCCTTCAGCCCAGCAGCTAGTGGGTTTGAACCACTGACCTTCTGGTTAGCAGTCAAGTGCCCAGCATTTAACCATTTGCACCACCTGGGGACTCCTGGTAACTTGTTCAAGTTGATAAGAATAGCAAGTGAAAGAAGCTAGGGAGGAACCAGTGTTCTTTCCATCATGCCACCACCTCCTCTATATCATGCAACCAATCCAGCCCCCCTGCCCCACCCATAGCCCTGGCTTGGTCTGGGAGGTCAGCAGTTCATGGCCAAGACCCCTATTCCTTCCCCATAACATTCCTTGTCCCAAAGAGGCCACGTTTCATCCCATCCCATCCCATTTCATCTTATCTTATCCCTAACATCAGTCTTGTCCCCCTTCCTAGAAGAACCTGCTCTACAAGCCAAGGAGGGCCCATCAGCAGAGCCGTCAGCAGTGTGGGGACAGTAAGGAATAAACCATGCACAGGGAGGGGGAGCAATGGGCTCAGCTCGACTATACCTGGAGTTACAGGCTTTATCTTCAGATTCAGGCATAGCCTGATGTTGACCTCATGGTAAAGGGAGGGGCAGTGTGGAAGATACTCTTAAAGGGGAAAACCAGCCTCCATTTTTCAGCCTCCCCTGAAAGACCCAAAGGCAGGGAGATCAGCTGGTACCCATAGGCTGGGCAGAGGCTGCCTCCTGAACTCAGAAGTCCACTGGGAAGTAGTCTTTATTTCTCCCCTCCTCTCCTTCTTGCACTTTGAGATTGAGGCATCACCAAGAGTGAGTTGCAGGTGGGAGGCAGAGTGAGGAGGCAGATAAGCTGATAGAGACATCCAAGGCCTGCCCTGGCTCTCTCTCCCTTTGAAGTACCAATAAGAAGAGACTATGTTTGTCCAAGATCTTTGCTTTTTATTTTCCTACTTCTGTCAGAGCCAGACAACCCTATGTTAAATAGACCAGGGGCAGTGTGTGTATGTGTGCTCAGTGTATATGCAGCATAGATGCAAGCGTGGGAACAGAGGAAACTGGCTGGTGCTCTGGAGAAGAGGCCAGAGATGAATCAATCTCCAGTGCAGGAACTGTGGTCTCCACTTGGCTTTGACTGCCGGTAGGGAGAGGCAGCTAGCCCTCCAGTACCAGTGGGGCACCCAGCTTTGGTGCAGGATCTGGCAGGAAGGCCTGGCTCACAAATAGCTGATGTGTCCCATGGACCCCAAACCATTGCCAGCCCCTGAACAATCACACAGCACAGCACTCAAGGAGATGCAGGTGTCCCAGGAAATGGGAAGGCAGGGCATACTTTCTGGCTGAGTTGAAAGTGTTGGTTGCTGAGGTGGGGAGTAGGTGTGGACCTGCTTTGCAGGAGCAGGAGTTTGGTGGAATGGGGAAAAGGATGTGACTGGAGCCATGAGTCCAGGACAGCATGGGTGATAGGGCTACTCCAACAACTGGTAGGCTCACAGGACTCACAGGACAATCCTGGTCTGTGTATGTGAGAGTGATATGAGGAGCTGGATGTGTTCCAGAGGAAATGGAGAGCCAGTGGGGCATCCTATTCCCTTGGGTCCAGGTTGGGTGGCATCCCCTTAGTCTGAAAACAAACAGCATACATTTATTTAGCCCAAGGAATGTCCCAGTAGGAGCAATCTCCCAAGAATCTTCCATGTGAGGTCACCAAATGGTGATGGGAGATTGGTATGGAAGGGCCAGATCGTGTCCTGGGTCAGGGATGGAAACTGCATGCAATCTGAGGACGGGGGCCCTCTATGAGCTCCAGCCAGAAATGTCTAAGGCTCCTGTTGGATGGGTCCCTGGGGCTCCCCTAGGCCCCCCACTACTCCTCCCCAGTGTTTCTACCTCAGTGCCTGGCCTCCAGAACCCAGATCCTTCCTTATCCTCACCCTCCACATTCCTCATTCCCTTTCCCCCTCTACTCTACTCCTGCTGCCAGGCCAGCTTCCTCCATTTTTCCCCTGGCAGGCTCATTCCATTCAACCTGGCACTGGGGAGGGTCCTAGCTGAGTGCTAGGCTGAGTATGCCCCTCCCCCACTAAACCATCCTAGAGATCCTGGAAACCTCCCATGCCAGCACCTGAAGTCCTATGTGATAAGGATCCCCACCTCTCCTACAAACTTCTACTCCCTTCCCCTGACTGCCACACCCCTGGCCCTCTGTGTCCCTTTCACTACCTCTTTGGGTCCCTTTGTTTGCTCCCATGGTCACAGAACAATATTCTGTCCCAGGACATGCTAAGCTCCTTTGTGCCTTCCTGCATTTGCACAGGCTGTTTCCTCCACTTGGAACACTCACCTCCTCCTGTCCCTTCTCCCCCCCATTGGAAAATCCCAGTCTTCACTGTCCCTGGAGGCCCTCCCTCAGGACTTATCCCTGCTTCTAGCATCCTGTGTGCTCATACCTCAATGGCAGTGCTTATCACATACATTTGGTGACAGTTAATGTTCTGTCCCTACCCACCCCCCACCCCCGACAACTCCAGCCTAGTTGTCCCGCCAGCATAGGCACTGTGTCTTTCATCATTGTCCTGGCCAGCCTGGGTGTTGCTGCCAGGGCTCTGTGCTGGCCTCTGTGCTCATGGCTCAGGGATAGGAAATGAGTCCTCCCAGGAGCTCTCCTGGATGGGAAGGCTCGGGGAGGCAGAGGCTCCACATTGAAGGGTGGGTATCAATTTCCCCAGGAAGTAGACCTGTGGCACCCTCTTTGCGATAAGCAGGAGAGTGGCCTTGGGGGAAGGAAGGTAGAAAAGTCCCTGTGGTGCTGGACTCGCTGGGGAAGCTCCAGAGAGCTAAGGCGCTAGGCTAGGTGGACAAGATGATACCAGGGGTATTGTGTGGATGTGAGTGGAGGGGCAGGGCTGGGAGTTGTCAGCTGAGGGGGAAGGAAAGCCCTGGGGCCCTACGCACATGGTATTTCCAGTGTTCCAGAATATCACCTTCTTTAATAGCCATCGACATTCCGTTCCATAGGCACTTGGCCTGACAGCTGGCCTTCTTTTAATAGCTACAAGTATTCTGGGTGACATCCTGATCTTAGGGCATTTATACTGAGCACATGTACAGCATACAGTTCTCCTCTCCCCTGCTTTTGGGACTCCTACCAGACATGTCCAGCCCTGGGCCTTGAGGTACACAGAGAAGTACACACCACACATGCTTGGTCACACACTAAGCTTAGAGCAGATCAACTACGGCCTTGAGGTGTCACAGTAACACATGGTCACACAGATACATAGCTCACACAGTCATATACACTTGTATACAAGCCATACATTCATCATAGTACAATATAGTCAGCAAAGCACCTGCTACATACATGCACAGTCATGTCACATAACCACACACACTCAGCCCTGCTTAGAGCATTTTGGAGTCACATAGGCCCTCAGGTCCCCCAGCCAAGGTAAAGCTGGGAGGTACAGGGAAAAGGGTGATTCCCAGAGGGCAGTTGGCCCATCCTTGAGAATAAGCCCCTTTTCCTAGCCACTCCCTGGGCTACTTGCCCCTTTTTCTGACCCATTTACAAATTGGCAGAGTTCAGGCCAAATCATCTTCCTGGGAGTCTCTGTTTCCCATCCCTGGGGCGTGAGAGGGGTGTTGGCTTCCATGTGCTCCAGGTCCTGAATGTAGAGGGATCGTCCACTCACTTGCTGGACACTCACCCATGCAGCTGCTGCCTCTGTGTCTATCCAGCCCTGGGAGAGGTCAAAGAGTCACTCTGTGAGGTGAGTGGGATATTCCACAGCCTTTCTCCTGAGCTTCCCCCTACCAAGCCCTTTTCTATGCTTCCTAAGGATATTCACTGGGGAATGGCTCATAATACAATGTGCAGGGCCACTGGTTACAAAATCTCAGCAAGTTGTGTGCTCATGTGCCAGTGTGTGTGTGTGTGTATGTGTGAAAGAGAGACAGAGAAAAAGTGTGTATGTGTCGGAGAAAATGTATGTGCATGAGAGAAAATGTGTGTGAGAGAAAGTGTGTGTGAGAGAAATATAAAGTGTGTGTGTATTTGAGTGAAAGTATATATGAGAGAAGTGTTTGTGTGAGAAATAAAGTGTTTATATGAGACAGTGAAAGTGTGTGTGTGAGAAAGTGTGTGTGAGGGAAGGTGTATGAGAGACTATGAAAGTGTGTGAGACAGAGTGAAAGTGTATGTGTGTGAGAGAGTGACAGTTTTTGTGTGAGAGTGAAAGCATGTGTATGAGAAAGAAAGTGTATATGTATGATGGAGAAAGTGTGGTGTGTGTGTCTTCTTAAGCACATGGGTGTTTATATTTTGTTTGATGTGTCTTCATGAGGATCTAAGCCTCAGTTAATGGATAAATTATAGTTCATTGCAATGGTTCAAAGAAGGGAATCCCTGATAGCCCCCTGACAGCTCCTCTCTCAACTGGGACCTCGGGGATGGGTGCCAATGAGAGATCACTAGCTGGCCCAACATGACCCTTGGTGGGCCCCACAATGGGGTCAATAGGCAGAATGGAGGTTCCTGAACACAGCTGGCATAGGAGCCCCAGGTGCAGTGAGTTTTCCTCAGGGCATCACAGACCCAGGTCCTGAGGAGAAGCTAGTACAAGCTGAAGGTTATGACCATAATCCCTGGAGTCAACACCCAACCAAGAATAGGCACATCCACTCTCTCCTAGCCAGTCTTAAGTGGAGAGATGACTCTTCTGTTTTCAAAGGTGGACTTGGAGGCTCAGAGAGCTGGTATAATGTCCGCATGGAGAAGGACATGGCCTGGTGTTGAGAGACTTGTATTTAGCTCTGACCTACTGCTAGGGGGCCTCAGGAAACCCTGTTTCCCTCTCTGGCTCCAGAGTCCTGCCTGTGGGTGACATGATACATGAGAAGGCTATGGGGAGCCTGTGGGCAATTCTTCTGCCAGAAGTCCAGGGTTCCTAGTGTCCAAACCCCTGAGTCTCAGAGGCATCCCTGTCTGGGCCCAGGCATCTCCTGGAACACTGAGTATGGTTTGACTGAGGAAAGGATGACCAGGTGCTAGTCAACAGAGGCCCCAAGATCCTTACCACCTCATTCTCAGAACCCAGGGATGTCTGGTGCCTCCTTCTGGAGATCCAGCTGAGGTTAGAGGACTGGCTGCTCAGGGTGGAGTGGTGAGTGGAGCGGTAGCTGATGTAAAGGCAGGTGCTCTGTACCGACACACCCAGCAACATCCCCAGGCAAGGCAGGTGCTGGGCAATGGCCATTCTGTAGGGTCAGTGCACATATCTGGTTAGGGAGGAGGTGGGGGGTGGGGAAGGTGGATAAACAGACATAGGGGATGATGGGGAGGGACAGACATACTGAAACAAGCCTGATGGAGGTGGACAGAGACCTACTGGGGAAATGGGGCTATAAGGATAGACAGATGCTGGGGTGATGAAAATGGATAGAAAGATACTGGGAGTCATTGGTGTTGATGAAGAAGCATAGAGAGATGCTGGGTGAAGGAGCCTGACAGACTCACAGGGCTGGTGAAGATGGACATACAGATACTAGGGTGGTGGGTATGGAGGGAGAGAGCTTTAGAGTAGGAGGATGAGTCAGGCAGAGATTAGTACAGTCCTTCAAGTGGCTGGGCCAAGCCATATCTCTGTGAGATATGAGCAGGCTGAGCTGGCTCAAGCCTGTGCTGGCTTCAGACCAGGTGGTGAACTACTGACACCTCCAGGCAAAGGAAGCACTGAAGGCCCCCTTGTGGGTGAGGCCACCACACTGGGGTTCTTATCAGCAAAGAGTGCCCTGTGCTAGAATAATTTCCCCCAGCCCTCTGCCAGGGCCCTTTAAGCAGATTGAGTGCTCCCTGCTGTGGTCTGTCCAGGACACAGTCTTTCCCAGGTGATAGATAGCACAGCTAGTCTGTGGACCCTAGCTCCTAAGGTCCCATAGTTAGGATTGCCCAGGGAATCCTGACATCCCTTCAAGTTGAGCCCTGGGAAGCTGGAGCATGGGAGGGTCACTTTAACTCCAGACTCCACCCAGTGTCACTGGTTGCTTCCGGCTGCTAGTCGCCCCTGCCCAATGTACATTCAAGAGGCAGAAAAGATAGCTGGTCTCTGCCCTCCATTTGCAGGCCCTGAACCTCCAGGTCTACAATGTGGGGCCAGGGGGTAATGGGCTGGGGGCCTAGAGGAGGGTCATACCTGTACTTGGGGTGGGTGATGGCATAAATGATGGGGTTGTGAATGGCAGAGGCCTTGGCGATGACAGCAGGCACTGAATTCATGTAAGGTGTCAGGACATGTGCGTACCTGAGACAGAGAAGTTGTGGTCCCCTTCTGCTGGCTGGCCCTCCCCAGAAGGTCACATTCCACCCATCCACCCTCTCAGGAAACTTCTCCCTCTGGGCAGGCCCTGCCAGGGGGACTGTCCAGCCCAACCCAGCCCAGCTCAGTCTACCTTTGTTCCATAGGGGGTTGGGGGTGAGGGACTGGACATGCCAGAGAGAATTCTGATCTGAGGTTAAGCAAAGACAAAGGTGACTGAGAACCTGGTTGAGGGAGGGTCATTGTGAGGAAGAAGTGCCAGGCTTGGGACATGGCTTGAAAATCCTACTGTCCCTTGGAGGCTGTACTACTGGTAACAACCCAGGTGAGGAGTCAGCAACCCTATTCCACTTTGACCCTGGTCCTCAGGCCCTCTGCCCGGCTCTCCTCATGCCCACCCAGCCCACCCACCCACCTGCTTCCCTGACTTTCTTAGAGTAACTTCATAGGAGGACCTGAGAGCAGACAGGCCATTCCTGCACAAGGAGAAAGTGCTGTACTCAAACCCTTCCAAGGTTTAATGCTGTCTCAAAAGTTCTGAAGTCTAGCCTATGCCCATGCTTCTGCAAAGTCTCCAGACTGTAGCCACACAAAGGACTAGTGAGAGCTCTTCCAGACCCATTTCTGGAGGTGAGCCATACCCCTGGCTGTGTGCCCACAGCCCAGGTAGAGAGAGGACCTGAATCTCAGGGAGATCTGCGTGTCTCCAAGGCGTTTCACAAAACTTGGCATCCCTCACAGGCCACAGGCTGAATTTGGTGTGGCCCAGAGCTCCCCAGCATGTGTTGTGATGCTCGCCAAAACTAAGAAGACTTGCCTGGGGTGGAGCTTTGCTGGCCAGAGAAAGAATAAAGCTGCAAGGACAGTTGTCCCTGGGCTTGGGCTGGAAGGAAGAGGCTACCCCCAGGTAACCTTACCCTCCCCTTCAGCCCAGCCTCAGCCCTTTACCCACTGCTCACCCTGCAAAGGTCACCAGAACCACAGTGGAGTAGGGGGCCCAGGAGAGCACATAGAGCAAGATGGTCAACAGCGCGATCTTGGCCATCTTCCACTCACTCTGCAGCCGCCGCCTCTGCCGTGGGGACTCACTGGCACCCTCACAGGCCCCGAAGGTCTGGAGAGCCCTAGGACAGGCAGAATCTAGGTCTGACCACAGTTGGGTGGCAATGCATGCCAGGGTCATGGATACTGTCAGGGTGCCTCTCTGGAGTATCCCTGGAGGAAAGTCTTCCCTTCCAGTGCAGGAAGCCCTGACTCACAGAAAGTTCTCTATTACATTGAGCCTAATCTGCTCCCTGTGGTTACACTGTGGTACCTTCTCTGACCTCTGAGGTCACTAGACCAAGCCTAAAGGCCCCTCTCCCCCAGACTTTTCTATGTACCCAGGTTCCTTGTGCTTGCTTTTAGGATCCCCACCTCAGGGCACATCTTTTCAGCTTCCTTTGTCTGCCCAGAGACAACCCTGGTGGAGGGAGAATGGCCTTCACCCTCAACCCCCTCCTCTGCTGCCACACTTGCCTGCCTAGCTCTCCTCTCTCTATGACTTGCTCTTACCGGCCTGTCTCCCGGATGGCTCTAAAGATGAAGATGTAGCAGTAGATGATGACAAGCAGGGGGAGGAAGAACACAAAGCAGAAGAGGAGCATGGTGTAGGCTCGGACCGAGGGTGTGAAGCTCATGTAGTCCCAGGAGCAGGATGTCAGTAGCCCGTCAGGCACATAGGCACCTGGGAGCCAGGGCGGGTGCTCAGTGAGGCAGCTGTTGGGTCCTCAGTGTGGGTTCCAGTCTGTCATCCCAAGGAACTTTGCATGTGGTCGCAGCCCTACCATGCCCAGTGCAGTGGGAACACCCAGGGCAGTTGGGGCATAGGGAGGAGAGCTCCCTAAGCTGGTCTGGCAGGGACATCACCTCAAGAGACAGCTGGTCAAACACCATGGCTATGCTGCTTGATAATTTTGAGCACTACAGCCCCAGGGTCTTACTTCCCAAAGCTCCAGCTAGCTTCTAGGTCTTACCTCAGAGGTTAGTGACTTGTTGCTAACTGTCCTACCTGCTGAGGCCTCACACCCCAATGTCCTGCCTAGTCTGACTAATGGCAAACCTGGCAAGTGCTGTTCCCCTCCAGTCCCTGATAGTACAACCTCAGTTTCCCTTGCTGGTAGTCATGTCCCTCATTGTTTATCTGACTAGAGGCTCAGGTTGTCCTTTGGCTCTTCCTGCCAACTGGCAGACCCAAGTCCACCTACTTGTCTCTTAAACTTGCCCCTCCCAGCCTATCTTCCCCTCCCTTGATTCCACCAGTCTACTTACTCCAGCCAAAGAAGGGTGGTAGACTCCAGGCCAGGGCATAGAGCCAGATGCCCATCAGGATGAGTGCTGCCCGCCTCTTGGACACCACACCAATAGTGGCAAGCGGGCGTGTGATCACCAGGTAGCGGTCCAGGGCGATGGCCGTGAGGGTAATCATGGAGGTGATGCCAAAGAGAGCCCCACAGAAGGCATAGAACTTGCAGGCTGTGAACATAGCCACCTGACCTCAGTCCTTGGGAGACTACCCACCAGGTACTGGGGGAAGGGAGGGTCTGGAGATGGAGCTTGTTTGGCTCCTGCCCTCACCTCTCAGAAAGCAGGCCTTGATCTTTCTCCACCCTGCCTACTTGCCACTTCTGACAGAGTCTGGCAGAGACTTCAGGACCTGAGCTGGAGTCTTCCTTTCAGTGCTCACTAACTGTGTGATTGAGAACAGCTACCCATTCCCTGCCCAGGAAGAGCAAATCACCTCCATATCTGTGCCATCTCCATGGTGGGCATCCCTTGGGCACAACCCTCTTCCTCCCTCCAGCAAAAGGAAGCCTACCTGCCTCCCCAAAGAGCCACTGCTTGTAGAGGCTACTGGCGAAGAAGAGGGGGGCCTGGGTGAAGGACATGAAGAAGTCACTGATGGCGAGGTTGATAATGAACATGTTGGCAGGTGTCCAGAGGCCTCTGGTCCTGGAAGGGGTCAGAGGCTGTTAGGAGGTACTTCTGCTGGGGGACTTTCCCTACTCCTCAACCACAAATACACTCACACACGCATTCACACATGTGTACACATACATGCACACACGTGTGTACATAGCACACATACACAAATGTGTATGCACACACATGTACATATACTGAATATATGCACCCATTCATATACATTTATATACATGTGCACATGCCTGTACACATATGCAGGCACAAGCTGCTGGGCTACAGAACCCATCCAGCTGTACAGCAAAGTATCAGCTGAACAGCCTTTGAACCCAATTGTATGGCCTAGTACTGAGAAACCCCAAGACAGCAACCAGACCTTGTTTCCCAGCAGGGGAAACTGAGGTTGCACTATCAGGGACTAGAGGGAAACAGCACTTGCCAGGTTTGCTGTGAGTCATACTAGGCAGGACATTGGGGTGTGAAGCCTCAGCAGGTAGGACAGTTAGCAACAAGTCATCAACCTCTGAGGTAAGACCTAGAAGCTAGCTGGAGCTTTGGGAAATAAGACCCTGGGGCTGTAGTGCTCAAAATTATCAAGCAGCATAGCCATGGTGTTTGACCAGCTGTCTCTTGAGGTGATGTCCCTGCCAGACCAGCTTAGGGAGCTCTCCCTTAGAATGAAATGGGGAAAGCAATGTCCTCCAGAGCTGTTGTAAGACTCCATGGAGGCTAGCTCTTGGGCTGTGTCCATTTCCTCTTCTTGCTCCCTTGGTTACCTCTGCATGGTGGACATTCAGTCCTTAGATAAAGCCCTTGCTTTCCTCAGACCCTCCAGACAAAGGTCTCCTCCAGGGCTTCTCATTAGGCTCCTCCTGCTGTGCACTCAGACTTGACTAGTCTCGTCTTATGTTTCTCATTTCTCCTTCCTGCTTGGGAATCATCCTCAACCCTCTTCCTCAATGTCCCAACCTAGCCCAGGTGCTGCTCAGTGTAGCTGTTACTGCAGTCCACACCCTCAAGGGTGGCAGAGGGGAGAAAACTGCATTTGTGCACACAGGCCAGGTGCACTGCTCAGCCTTTCACAAACCTTGCCTCCTGCTGTCATCTGTCTTCATATCCACCCCCGAGGGAGGCTCCATTGTTTCTGTTATCCAGATAAGAACACCAAAGATCCGTTTGTGAAGTGACTTGCTCCGGATCACAAAACAGTAAGTGGCATGGCTAGGATTTAGACCCTCACTTGCGGAGCATTGTACATACATAAACTCACCTGATCAGGACATGAACTCCATGAAATAAATCATAACTCCATGTTGCAGGCAAGAAAAGTGAGCTCAAAGAAGACAAAGGTCTGCCCAAATCATTCCACTAGTAGGTGGGAGGGCTTGGGCTCCCTTCCTCACTTGCTTGTCTCAGTCATTCAGGCTGTTGTGGGGTTCGAGAGGAAAGGGTGACCTAGTGAGTGGTTGCTGGGGGCTTGAGGATTGAGGGCACTGGTGCTCAGGGCCGCAATTCAAGGCAGAGAGAAGATGCCTGAGGTAGGCAAGGCAAAGGTGAGTTGATAGCTGGGTAGAAAGAGCAGAGACCTGGGTGTCTTGGGTCTGGGGCTCAACAGCATGTGCCATTCAAGCTTGCCTTCTCTGGGCTTGTGGATCTGAGCCCATCGAGGGCTTGGTCTGACTTCTCTGCCCATCCTCAACAGTGCTCTGGCTAGAGCTGGCAGTCAGGTTCATGTTCTTATCCTCTGCTCTGTCTCTGCACCCTGACCCTAGCCCACTAACTAGGCACCTGCAGAAGGTGTAGAGGACCATCAGATTGCCCAGCATCCCTGTGAGGCCCACTAGCAGGATCACTGTGCCCAGGGTGTAGTGGGCGTGGTCTGGCACATCAACCGTGGGAAAGGGGACCCAGGCAGCAGTTTGAGCCCCGGATGCCTGTGGAGAGACAGAAACAAGGGTATCATCTTATCCCTTGTCACCTTCAAACTGCTTGAGAAGGTGAGGGATCTCAGAGTGGCAAAGCCGCTCACGCACACAGGCTGTCATCCCATGTCACTGATGAGTACAGCTTCTATGAGTGGCCCAGTTCACTGGCTAGAGGCCAGAAGGACAGACAGATGTGTGCCTGGCATGATGGACTATGGCTGTGGTGACCTTACCTTTCCTTGGGGCAAAGGCAGAGCCAATTTCAGGGCAGGTCCCTCCCCATGGTATGGACCCCATCCCAAGTGTCCAAGAAAGCATCGATGGTCTTCAAGGTCTCCTGGGACTCTGGGGTGGAAGGGTGGGGTGGACCTTCTGCTCAGGAGTCCCACTCCCCTTCCAAGCCTCAAAGGAGAAGCTGGATTGCCCCTACGCTCCACTCTCTCCTTGATGTCTGGCATGAGAGAGAGGGAACATTTCCCCTTTATAAAAAAAGCTTAGAGTTACTGCAAGGAAATTATGACCCAACAAAGCCAGTATGGAAGGATTTAGAGCTTCCACTTCTAGGAAGGAGAGACTTAATCTCTGTCTCTCCTGGACCCTACAACTACTGGAGCCTTCCCATCTTGCCCAGGGCCTGGGGTAGCATTCCAGGAAGGGTTTTGGTTCTCAGGGTCTGAAAGTGCCCTCATCCCTCACTAATTCACAGTGGGGGTGGTGAAGGATGGGCTCTGGGACCCTGGCTAGGATGACGGAGCAGAGGGCACCCCAATGCCCACACTGGACTGGACACATCCAGAGGCCCAGGGTATATATCCTGAAGGACCCTTCTCTCCAGCTTCCTCTCCAGAAGGTTTCATGGGGCACCTCACTACCCCCTATAAGGACTAGGTACAGCTAAGGGCAAGTCTGGGCAATTCCTGTCCCATGTCCTTCAGAGCTGGCCTTTAAATACTCTGCATGGGGAGGACATCATCAGGATTCTCCTCTATCATTTTCTTTGTGTAGGATGGCTCAGAGAGACTCAGTAACATGTCTAAGGTCCCACAGAAGAACTTAGAACCCTCTTCCCTCCAGTCAAAGTCCATGTTTGCCCCAACAGTGAGCCAGGGTGAAGGGTAAGGGAAGGGCTCTGTTCATGCATGCACTCCCCCCAGGCTTACCGTGGAGCTGCTAAAAGGAAGTTTGGCTAGGCTGGAGTTGCTGACCTGGGAGCTGTTCCACCTGTTGGCTGAGGCTGGGGTGGCTGTGCAGATGGGTGCCTGGGCTGGGACTGACGGAACTCTTGGCCCCCAAGGTAGATTCATCCTGTTGTGGGGACAGTCCTTTCACGATCTCACAGGGAAATCAAGCTCAGGACTTTAGTTGTGGCCAGCCTTCCCATTGTCCCCCATTCTCAGTACTTCTGCCCAGCCCACCAGCCTCCGGATCCTGCCTGAAACTGCTCTTGGGGCTGATGGCTGCACTCGGTGTCCAGTGAAGTGCAAAGGAGTAAGTGTCACAGCTACAGAGTCGATTCTCACCTTTAAGTAGCAGAGCTGGGGGCTGCACATGCTCAGTTGCTCATAGCCTGCAGCTCACCCAGATGCCAGTCCCTGGATGTCTGCCAATAGGAAGATCTGAGTATGAAGATCTGAGGAAGCTGGGAACATGTGTGTTTGGGCATGTCAGTGCATGTGAGCAGGAGAATGTGAATGTCAGTTTGTAGGGTAAGGGAGACTGCTGGCTCAGACCCCTGGATGTTGGGCAGAGGCTTTGTCATGCCCACTCTTCAGGCTCTCCTCTACCGTAACCTCATCAAGAAGAGCCTCTGCCACTGCCAAGAACTCCTTTTTGTAGTAGGAACTCCAGGGCTGTTTTGTGGGCAAGTGACCCTGGAGAGCCCAGAATCTCTCTTTCCTGGTGTTACCTGCCCCTTCATATCTGGCCCATGTGAGCACCTCACATATACACAACCACTCTCAACCAAGGCTGTTCACCCCATTTCACAGATGAAGAAAATGAGAAGAACGTAACAGTCGGGGTGAGAGCAGATCATGGAGCATTTTGTGTTTGATTTGTGAGCATAAATACAGATGCCTTGGTGGCTCAGTGGTTTAGAACTCAGCTACTAAAAGAGAGGTCTGCGGTTATCCACTCTGGGAGAGGAATATGGCAGTCTGTTCCTGTAAAGATTTATAGTCGATGGGGCAGTTTAAAAATTTTTTTTTATTGTGATTTGGGTGAAAGTTTACAGAGCAAATTCACTTTCTGTACAGCAGTTCACATACCCTTTGCCTCATGACTCTGACTACAATTTACCTCAATGCAACAGCTCCCCTCCCACTTCCTCCCGATAGTTACCTCTTCCCTGTGTCCATCCCTCCATGCACTCCTGCCCCCTGAGCTATCTCCCTGTGCATAAACAGCCCTTCTTTCTCCCATGATTGTTCTCTCCAAGGAGTGTATCTATTTCAGGTAAATGTTCAACTCCTATGCCTGTCTTTTGTTTGGCTGGAAACCACAGGTATAAATTCAATTCCAGATCTGAAGGGCAGCTAGGGGCCATAGTCTCAGTGGTTCCACCAGGCTCTATCAGACCAGCAAACCTAGTCCCCCCCCCCTTTTTTTTTTCCAAATGATTTTGAGTTTTGTTCCACATTGTTCTCCCTCTCTATCCAGGATCTCCTACATAAATTCCCCTCTGAGTGGTTGACAGTGGTAGCTGGGCACCATAGTCTTCCGGTCTCATAGTCATATTGGCTGTGGATTGCATGGTGTACCAGTTGCTTGGACTAATTGTTTCCATGAATCTTTGGTTGCCTTCATTCTTTGCTCTGGACTAGGAAAGACCCATTGTTGCATCTAGATGTCTGCTTGTAAGCTTTTAAGATCCCAGTTGCTACTTGCCAAAGTAGGAGGTGGAAAAATGTTTTGTGTAGTATCTTATGCCAATTGAGCCTGTTGTCCCTATGGGGCAGTTTTTCACTGTCCTACAACAACAAATAGGGAGCTCTGGTAGCATAGTGGCTAAGTCACTTGCCTGCTAACCAGACGGCTGGCGGTTCAAACCCACCAGCCACTCCTCGGAAGGAAGGTTGGGCAATCCTACTTCCGTAGTGATACTGCCTCGGAAACCCAAGGAGGGGTCGCTATGAGTCGGGGCCGACTCGACGGCACATAACAACAACAACAACAACAACAACAACAAATAAGGTTGCTATGAGTTGGAATCTACTTGATGGCAGTGGGATAAAGATTTAAACAAATCCAAAAGCTGGTGGAGACCTGAGAACTCTCTGGCCTGCAGGCCTGGCCTGAGATGAATAAACATTAGAAGTGACAGGGGTCCAGGGCCTTCCCTTCTCTCCCTTTTGAAAGTGATTTCCAAAGCTGGAAAGGGTAGAAGGTGTGCACAGTTGTTTCCTAGGCTCTGGCTGCCCAGGTCTGGGGCTCCAGGAGGCTGATGGGGGAGGAATCTGCTTGGCTTCCAGAGATGTCCTTCCTGGCTCTGAGGTCAGATTGGAGGGAGTGATATGCAAGCTCCCTTCCAGTCCCCCTCACAATCTTTACACACAGAGCTCTTCCAGCCCCAGAGAGGGAAGCTGCACTTCCTGTAGCTGAGACCAAATTCCTCCCTCCCTTACTCATTGCCATTGAGTCAACTCAGACTCATAGAGACCTCCTTTGGGTTTCTGAGGTGATAAATCTTTATGGAAGAAGATTGGCCCATCTTCCTTCTGCAGAGTGGCTGGTGGCTTTGAACCACCAGCCTTCTGGTTAGCAGTCTAATACCTTAGGCACTTTGCCGCCAGAGCTCCTTAGTTCCTCTCTAGGCCCTTTCATTTCAGGTCTTGAGCTCCCAGTCCTGGCTCCCCTTACCTGGGAGGTAAGGCTGAGGGACTCCTTTCACTTTCTTTCCTCTCACTTTTCTTTTCAACATGGGTGTGCCAACTGCTTCCTTTTGAATATGGTGGTATGTTTCACTATTAATCTCTGCTGGGAGGAATTCTGAGCCAAATGAAAGTTCATTTAGCACCCACCATACTTTCCGCCTGATAATTAGAGAAGTCAGGTGAAGCAGCTAGCACATGGCCGGGTCTACAGGAGGGAGGTCTACCAAGTTGGCAGATGAGGGGATAGTCCACACACCTGGGTGTCCAGGCTAGAACAGTACTCAAGAAACACGTAAAGAATTGAATTCCTATGCCTGGGGCTTTTTGAGGTCCCTTGGCTCTGCTTTTCAGTTCTGAGGGTTGGAATGCTGATTTGCTCTCCCACTTCCTCTTATGCTCCTGCTCTTTGGCAGACTCTTCCCCACCTCTGCACTCCATTCCGTATGATAGCTGTCCTGCCTGGAACCTGTCAAAGGGTTGTGGGGGTAGCCTCAGCCTCCATCCCCTTACCACCACCAAGAGAAACCCCTGCCCTTACTACCCAAGCCATCCTTGCTATAAGTCATGGACCTGGGGGAGGCTGTGGCATTTCTGTCACTCTGCTCAGGTATCCAATTGTGCTCCCCACTCCTGAGCACTCTTACTTTACACCCGGCATCTTGGGTTCCTCCCCAAGCTTGACCTGGTGGGTTCAGCCTCTCAACCATTCTGCTGGCTGCCTCCTCAACAGTCCCGTGGGTCCTTCTTCACTCAAGAATTTCAGCACAGGGGTAAGATGGGGTTGTTGTTGTTGTTAGGTGCTGTTGAGTTGTTTCCGACTCATAGCAACCCCATGCACAGCAGAACGAAACACTGCCCTATCCCGCGCCAGCTCACAATCCCTGCTATACTTGAGCCCATCATTGCAGCCACCGAATCAATCTATCTCGTTGAAGACCTCCCCCTCTTTCGTTGACCCTCCACCCTACCAAGCATGACATCCTTCTCCAGGGAATGGTCCCTTCTGACAACATGA